AACTTCTTTCTCTCCTTTTTGCTAGCCATTTCCTGGAAACTCCGGCAATAGCTAGCATGGTTTGACTATTATAATAAACGAAGAGTACTACAAATTAATCCGACGATTAATCAATATTGCATGCATGTGCTACACTTATTAATATTGCAATCTCATACATATGTTGGACCCGTTTAGTTCATTGATTTAAATTTTTAATTCGAGTTAAGATGTGACTTTATGTGAGAGTTTTTTATTGTAATAAAAAAACATATAACTATTTTTAAGAACTTTTTACAATAATAAAACTGAAATCGATAAAATAAACGGAACTTATAATTCCTTCACATCCATATTAAATCGTCCACCATCACCACGACTACCATCCCATGAGAAGAAACCCGTGAAGCTTGAAGCTTGTGACATTGATAAGTAATCATCAAAAATTCGTATATATATATATATGTATATACATAATAACATTGAATGTAACGAATGAAATTTTAATGCTATATAGCATCATTAACATTAACAGGGCATGTGCCCCGTCTGGATTTTGAAATATTTTTTTATTACATACAATTTTCTAAATTTTTTTTATATATTGCCCCCGTAAATTTTTGAAAATTTATTTTGTTGCATGTAGTTTTTTCAAAAAAATTTATATATGCCTCCTCATTAAGAAGATCTTATATATACCTCCTCATTAACATGCTTTTTCTCTATTTATTCCTATTAATTTTTTTTATATGTGCTTACTTAAATATTTATTTTCTTTCTAATTCATTTGTCCATGTTGATGTAATTTTTTTTCTTTTTTAAATGTGTCCCTATTTAAACTTTTTTTATACGTTCTTGTAGCTCTCTAATAGGATATCTTTGTAAATGTGGCTATACTTTTTTTCTAAATTTTCCTATCAAAATAATCTTTCTTAAACGTGTATCTTCTTAAATATGTTTTTTTCAGCAATCTTTCCAAATATTATTTTCTCTTATATACCCTTATTTATTTTCAAATTTGTCCCATCAAAAAGAATTTTTTTTAAGTGTTTACTTTATTTTATTTTTTTAAATAAACTATACACATAACAGAATAATAAATCATGAAAAAACTCAACTTTTAAGAAAATTCTATTATCACGTAGTAAAAAATTCAACAAATTGAATACTTATGTCCTTCCAACTACGTAATAGGATTAGGAGTTGATGATTTGATAGTTTTGAAGGCTTTTCACATTTTTAACTTACGCCTTCCCGAAACAAAATCATGCCTCTGCTACCGATCATTAATATTACTTCTGAGTTTCAAGTAAATATTGAGTTTGTTTAGTTCATAAGTTTAAATAAAAAATTTAAATAAAAATTTAAATTTTTTAAGAAAAAATACTGTAAGAGAATATTTAAAAAGTAGTTTAAGGTCTCGTTCATTTCACCGATTTGAGTTTAGAATTTGAGTTTTGTTACAGTAAAAAGTTTTCAGAAACAGTCACATCTAACTTTTTTACTACAGTAAAAAGCTCTCATATAAAATTACATCTCAATTCGAATTAAAAACTCGAATCAGTGAATTAAACGTGCCCTAAAACTATAAAACACACATGAAATGCTCAATAACTTGGATAGTCCAAGATCTAAAAGTCAACGTCAGTACTTATTCACCCAAAAAAAAAATCAAGAATCATACTCAAGATCTAAAAATCAACGTCAGTACTTATTCACCCAAAAAAAAATCAAGAATCGTACTCAAAGCAGTTTTTGCCTACGAAACAAAAAATGCTCATATTGTTATTAACACTATAATTTTTAGAAAATAAGGCTTATATTGTGAGACTCATTTTCAATTATTGTGTATCATTAATATCCTTAAAGTTGTAATACATATATTATTAAAATATGTTTTTTATTCATTTTTAGAAATAGTAAAATTAGTTTACACCGTGCATGTACGCGTGCGCGCGTATACACATAATATATATATATATATATATATATCATCAAGTTGTGGTGGGGAGCTGAATTACTCCAAAGTCCAAACATCGGAAGTGAAACATAATTTATACCACAATATTTGTGCATGATTCGTTTGACTGGTCTTTGCAACGTCAGTTTTCTAATTTAGCAGTACACCATTTTCTGGTCGCAACACTTTTGTCTCTCTTTTGCCAATCAAACTTTCATTGTGGAATTGAACGAAACGTCAAATTGTAATTCTAATCGTATTCTAAAGAAAAGGGCAAACGCCAAAAAGGAATTTTTTCTACCAATATCACAACACTACGCGCCCTATATATAGAGACGCACTAACTAAGCTGCTAGCCTGCTATATATTTGCAAAATTATACCTCGTGGTAAATTAACTGAAATTTCCTCATCATATGATCCAACGCAGATATATATATATATATATATATATAGTTATCAAAATGTAAATGTAACACGGCTTTGAGCAATTCGAAGGCATTACGTCTTCTAAAGATTTGATATAGCGATTTGAATTAATGTGATATCTTGCTCTACATGTTAGCATGGTTTTGGAAGTTTGCGGCCATAAATTTCTTAGTTTAGAAATTCTAATTAGCGAATAATTTGTGTAAGATTACAGATTATGGTGTCCTTTTTCTTCTTTCTTTCTTAAAAGTTAAAACTCAATTTTAATCAGTTTGCAAAAAAATTTTGAGCTTGCCCAAATGAACCCCAATATATTTCTTTTCACCTTTCAATTAAACAAATGCTAATTTTGACTAGATATATAATATGGCATACAATCTTTTGTGATCTCTCTCTTTTGTTTTTTTTGTTTTGGTTGAGAATTCAAAGCTACGGCGGATTAACTTAATCCATCGTCAATGAAAGGAAAATTAGATTATTCTTTAATAATAAAAAGATTAAATAAGTCATTGTTGGATTAGGCTTAGGCCTAAAGGTTCAAAATTGACAAAGCTCAAGGCTCATGATTCAAGTCCACAAAATTGTGTATACTAGATTTCGTTCTTGAAGCTTATATAAAGGGATTTAGAGGATTGGTTTAAGCATCTTATTCTCACCATTCAGAGAGAATTCTCATAGTGTAAAAAATGTTTAGTTTCTTTAATTTTTCTTTTTTTGTGAGGTATTTTTTCTATTTATATGAGAAAATAATTTTTATTGTTTTTCACATAAAATACTTAGTAAAGGAATAAAATCAATCTTAGTAAAGTAGTTCCCGAAAGAAAAGAAATACTTTGGATTTTCTGCGTCCAGAAGGGGTTACTACTGCGATTGAGACAAAAATTAATACTTTGACGAAACCCACTATTCCATCACGTGATTCAATGTTGTGGAAAAATCATTGACCCGCCGATTATATTATACATAGTTTTTCTTTCTTCTTCCTCTCTATTTATTTATTTTACTAGCCACGACATTGACTTAATGATCAACGACTTCCTAGTACGGACAAATCTTATCGAATTTCCTATTGACGTTATTTTTTTTTACTGAGGTCTCATTCACTTAGCAGATTTAAGTTTTTAATTTAAACTGAGATGTAATATTTTTTGAGAGCTTTTCACTGTAACAAAAAAAATTAAATGTAACATTTTCTGAGAACTTTTTACTGTAAAAACCTAAAACTGAAAACTCGAATCGGTGAAATGAACGAGGCATTAGTATTTATTTCCAAAACCAATAAAAAAAATCCCAACTAAAGTATATTTTTGGAATTCCAAGGATATTAAATTAATTACATTAGATGATATATATATAAAAAAAAATTGTTATGGTATTAAATTTATTGCCATCATGCTGATTATAATTAAGCTAAGTGAAAGAGACAGTAACTGTGTGCTGTACATGAACCAAGGGAGGGGGGGCTCAGCTACTTGATGTGACACTGCAAAATAAATTTACAAATGCCACATACAACAATATCATTACCAACGAAAATTACTAAGCATTCAATAGGGTGTTAAGGCTGTAAATTCTGCTTGATAGGGTTCTAAATTTGAGCCAGCCGCACCGTAATTATAATATTAGTTGGAGTATATGAATATATAAAAAATCCACTTCCTAAAAGATATGTATACTATGCCACTTTCTATCCAGATTTATCTATCAAAGTACACTACTACCCATCCTTATAACCATCTCTCTTGAAAATATAAATAAAATAAGCAATATTTATGATATCCTACCATTAAGAACTATTTTTTAACCGTTGAATTAACTTTTTAACAGTTAATTTTGTGACTGAAAACAATTTAATTTATATAGCCCGCCTCAAATTTTTATCATGGATATTCGCAAATATAGTCGTTAAAAAGTTAATTTAACGGTTGAACGTCCGTATCACTTATCGATAGAAAAAAAAAAAATATATATATATATATATATATACACTTTCTATCATAAAAATTTCCAAATAAAATATAAGAAAAGAAAGCTTCTCCAGCTTATGTAAATCGCTATCATGTCTATATTATAAGGAAAATAGCAGTTTTGGTATTTATCAAAGAAAAAAGAAAAGGTATTGGGCAGCCAATTTAGAATACGAGCTTCCACAAGAGACTGCATACTCTGTGAGCTTTCATGGGACCTCATCAATTTTTGAAAGGTCAAGTTCCTTGAATTTTCCAGTTTTGTCACTTTGCTCCCCAAGTCCCCAATTTCCTGCAAGTATCCCGTGGTCCTGTTTATTTCGTTGATTTGAGTTTAGAATTCAAATTTTACTACAGTAAAAAACTTTCACAATCACATCTAACTTTTTTACTACAATAAAAAGCTCCTATATAAAATCATATCTCAACTCGAATTAAAATTTTGAATCAGCGAACTAAACGGACCCATATTTCTCTCCTAATCAATCAAGGACCTAATCGTCTTAAATAACCAAAGGCACAAAAAAGTCCACAAAGCCAAACTCAAGTCTATAAAAAGGATTATGGCATTAGTACAATATGATCAGTCAGCAGAGACTTAATCACATATTCACATGGTGGATTAGAAAATTATCTCTCTCTCTCTCTCTCTCTCTCTCTGGGGAAATGGAAATGGAAAAGTTGCTAGGAAACAGTCAGTACCAAAACAACCCACATCTTAGAAGCCAGAAACAACCCAGCAAAGGCAAGAAAAAGCCCATCAAGATAAAGTATATTTCTAGTCCTATGATGGTCCGAGCAAATAATGCTTCGGAGTTTCGTGCGATTGTTCAAGAACTCACTGGTCGGAACTCTAACTACACTGATTTGTACGACGACGTTCATCATGACGAGTCTCTAAATCGTACGACGACAATATTCAGCGAATCGGATCATGATCAGCCCGGCTGGTCCCAGTTTTCTGCTGATTATCATCCTCAAGGATCGGATGATCATGCGTTGGTTGATGATCGTGATCATGATCATCATGTGGGGGGGAAATTTTCGAACCCCAATGTTTCTTTGCTCGGCCAGATTGATGAATTAGGTCTTTTCTGGAGATCAGAAGTTTCAGAAAGCTTTAATGGGTTCCAATCTTCATGTTTATTTGTAGGACAAAACTAAGAGAGCAAGTTTATTACTTTGTAATGATACTTCTCTTTTTGTGCATTTGGAACCTAGCTAGCAAAACAACAATTCAATATTATATATATATATATATATATATGGATACACACATACTTAAGAATATTATTGGTTTGTTGTTTTGCAATCCAATTTATCTTAAGTTTCTACGCTCTTTATTGGTTTGCTGTTTTGCAATCCATTTTAACTCAAGTTTCTTACGCTCTTTTATGTTGTGTACTTATTTGTATGCACGGACTTTTCTGGAGAACAAACGGACACGGTACAACGTGTATACATATACATATACATACATATATACACGTGTGCATAGTTCACCAGCATTAAATGCGTATGAAACTGACTGAAAGTAAACTTCGACGCAACCTTTTTAAAAAACTATTTTGAACCATTGGTTTCTAAAGATAAATTGTGAACCATTTTGTGCGAACTAAGCTCTGATATTTTTCGATACAATATGGGATGATACTTCTCTTTTTGTGCATTTGGAACCTAGCTAGCAAAACAACAATTCAATATTATATATATATATATATATATGGATACACACATACTTAAGAATATTATTGGTTTGTTGTTTTGCAATCCAATTTATCTTAAGTTTCTACGCTCTTTATTGGTTTGCTGTTTTGCAATCCATTTTAACTCAAGTTTCTTACGCTCTTTTATGTTGTGTACTTATTTGTATGCACGGACTTTTCTGGAGAACAAACGGACACGGTACAACGTGTATACATATACATATACATACATATATACACGTGTGCATAGTTCACCAGCATTAAATGCGTATGAAACTGACTGAAAGTAAACTTCGACGCAACCTTTTTAAAAAACTATTTTGAACCATTGGTTTCTAAAGATAAATTGTGAACCATTTTGTGCGAACTAAGCTCTGATATTTTTCGATACAATATGGGATGGTTTAATCAAGTCCTAATACCACTGAGTGATTGTCAGTTATAATATGAATTTGTTTTTTTGTTTTTTTTTTGTTTTTTTTGGAAAAGCACACATATATATAGATGTCATCAGCATTAATTCACTGTATATATGTACAAACATAGCACAAGAACATATCTTGCCCCCAATAATACACACACATTATAAGTTACATTTTAGCCTACCACATAAATAATTTTCCATATATATATATACACATTCTTATGTATTTATGTTGAAAAAATTGTCTTTTTCTCAAGCACTATATTTTTCCACAAAAAACCTAAAGGGGACAGAAAAATCAAAGCCGGGGCCACAAAAATATTAAGAATTTATTATGCCATAAATAAGTTAGTTTCTCCGGTACTCTGTCTTACTAGTAATTTCAATTTTTAACCGTTAAATTTGATAAAAATCACATCAGATTAAAAAAAACATACAAAATAAATATATTTTGATACAAATTTGACAACTGAAAAATAAAAAATTTATCAATAATCTATTTACACTCCCCATGAATAAAAACTAAAAAAGAGAAAACAACATGCATGAAGTTACAGTATAGAAAACAGAATGATGAGATATCTGATATTTACAAGATGAGCACGACCTTTCATATAGGAAATCGATAAGTTATTTTTTAGCTTTTTTTTTTTTTTTTTTTTGGGCTCGAATTTCAGGGGCAACTTGGACAATACTGCATGTTCGTTCAAACATGCAGCGTCCCGGTCAAATAATATATGATCAATAATACCATGCTATTTAAACAACTAGCGTAAAAGAAAGAGAAAGGGAAACGATTTCTTCAATGTCAAGATAAGATTAGGAAATGTACGAATGCTATCATGTCACCAAGAAAAACTTGAAAATAAATTTCTTTAAAATAAATAAATAAATATCAAAAGTGCATTTAATGTGCTATTGTCGAATACCCATAGTTATGACAATGCTAATTTGATGGTGTCAATATTATTCCTTGTAGGTTTTAGAGCTTCACATTAGTCATGTGTGTCAATGGAATATTAGAATCTAAATTATTTTTTATATAGTTATCTCTTTTAGTTTACTGTTAAAATTATACAATTTATTAGTGGTAAGTTAATTGGTGTTTAATAAATGTATAATTTGTTTTCAATGTATTAAGTCAAGAATCCAAGTTCTAGAAGGAAGAAAAAATATTTAAAAAAAAAAACAAGAAACCTAGGCTAATAGTCGACTAATAACCCCTAACTATTAAGACCAAAGAAATTATTCGGTAGATGGGTGTAGACAAGGCACGATATAAAATAAAAATTTTGTGGAGCCAAAAAGGTTGAATCGTACTTTTGACTTTTCGTCTATTGGTTCATCCTTAAATGATTAATATGGCCGTACGAGAGATTATTATTCAAAATTATCCTCTATTGTATGGCATTTGCAGTGTCGTCACACCTATACCCAGTACGACATATAGGCTTCGTACCAGTAATTTGAATAGATTTATATATCACAACTCATTTCAATTTCACATTTTAACTATTAGTTTAAATATCAAATTAGTTTAGGAAATCGCGATACAGTAGCCGTATTTAGAATATTTTTTACGTTTTTTGAAAAAAAAAGATAAAAATATTTTCAAAGCGACGTTTGGCGGAATAAAGATAAAAATTAAAAATAAAAACTGTAATACTCGAGATTTAATTAAACCTTAAGCCAATAATAAATAAATTTAATAAAATTAAAATCACGGACTACATTTACCATTTACTTCAAAGTTATTTGTTGGCATTATATTTTATTATTATAGGTTTCGTACCAGTAATTTAAATAGATTTATATATCACAACTCATTTCAATTTCACATTTTAACTACTAGTTTAAATATCAAATTAGTTTAGGAAATCGCGATACAGTAGCCGTGTTTAGAATATTTTTTACGTTTTTCGAGAAAAAAAAGATAAAAATATTTTCAAAGCGACGTTTGGCGCAATAAAGATAAAAATTGAAAATAAAAACTGTAATACCCGAGATTTAATTAAGCCTTAAGCCAATAATAAATAAATTTAGTAAAATTAAAATCATGCACTACATTTACCATTTACTTCAAAGTTATTTGTTGGCATTATATTTTATTATTATAGCTATCATATGATTTTATTAAACTTATAAGTTTGCTAATTAAGTTTTCAGTTTTAATGTGCAGTGTAACTAGCTCGATGTGAGAACTCGATGTGCTAAACTTATGAAGAAAAATAATGATATTTATTATGATTATTTGATATGATATTTTATCTCTATTATGATTGATTTAATGATTAATTATTATTTTAATTTTTATTATACGGTTTTATGTAAATGTGTTGAGGATAGTGCTGGAACTTTGGACGGGCCGCCCGCGACCGTCGAAAAGCCCAAATTTTTACTCGAGCCCGAACCCAACCCGCCCGAGAAATTCGGGCCGCCCGCCCAAGCCTGAATTTCACCTTGAACGGGCCGCGGGCTTGTATTAGGAGGCCCGAGCCCGCCCGAAAAGCCCAAATTTTTTAAATTTTTTTAATATTTAGTTATTTTGTATTAAAATTTATATATATATATTACAATTTGAAATTTAAAATGAACACACGAACTATATAAAAAAATTATTTCTTTATTAATTTTTAAATTTGTAATTCATGATTGCCTCGTTAAAAACCTTACCAAGAAAAATCCAATTGGGATAAAAACTTGGCAAGGAAAAAAGAGTGCAATCATTTTGTGACGAATTACAAATTGTACAAACTTACATTGTTTATTAAATTACAAATACAATGTAAAAAGTAAATACATATTTACAAATTACAAATTTACAATTTAATTTGAAGCTGAGGGATCGTCTTCAAAATTAAATGTTAATCGATTAAATTCATCGATCCATTCTTGGCTTGCCGGTGAAATTGTATCTTGTAGACGTTGATCGGCCCGATCCTAATCCTTAATGCAAACTAAGGCTTCAACAATATCCCTTTGCAATGCATTCCGGCGTTCCTCAAGTATTCTTCCTGTCGTACTGAAGGCTTGTTCGGATGAAATAGTGGAGACTGAGATCGAAAATATATCTATAGCCAATCGAGTTAGGATTGGCCAAGTTAATGCCCGTGCCCTCCACCATTGAACTAAGTCAAACGATTTTGACGTATCGTCGACTACTAAGCCTTCACTAAGGTACGTCATAAGCTCGTTGAAGCTGCCACTGCCACTTGTTGATGAAGATTCGCTCACAGCTTCTGTTTGAGTTGTCTTATTCTTCTTCTTCAACCCGGAAACATTCAAGAATGAATGCGGGTTTTCATCTTGTTGTTGCGGTTCCTGTACTCTAGGAGGTACTCTAAACCTAATCTCATATTTTATAGATCGAATATATTTTTTTCTTTATTATTGGATATTGGTCCAAACAATTTATGCCTAAAAAATCACATAAGTTTTCTAAACCACTTTCTAAACCTTTTAATTTTAATTTAGGATAAAAAATAGTACCTAAACCATACAACAAATGCAACTTAGACCAATATTTTTTAAATTTTTTTTCCATAGAATGAATAGGAACTCCTAGGATTGGGTCATCCCTATATTCGCTAAATAAAATACTAATTTTTAAAAGTTCACCTAAAGCTAAAGGTGATGTTGGGTAGTATGTTCCACTAAGTTTTAGAGTAACTTCATGAAACCTACCTAAAAATTGATATAAAACTTTGACAATTTGCCAATCAAATTCGTCTATATGTCATACTCCTAATTTTGCACACATATAGTTTGTTATGGCATCCTTATAGAGGATGCATTGTTGAAGCATAATGTAAGTTAAGTTCCATCTTATAGGCATATCTAACGCTAATGCTCTAGGAGGTATATTTAATGCTTGTAAGAACCTAAACCAATCTTCTTGTCTTTGGTTACTACCTTGAATCCATGCAAGACTATCTCTAATTTTTTAATGTGATTACCCATTTCTTTTAAATCAGATTTAACTATTAAATTGATTACGTGACATGCACAACGTTGGTGGAAAATTATACCGTCACCGAATAAACTTAAATCATTTTCAAAGAATTCAATTGCTTTTGTATTGGCACTAGCATTATCTAATGTTATAGTCATTACTTTATCTCTTAGTCTAAATTCATCAATTACATTTAAAATTATATTATATATTAAATCCACGCTATGTGATCCTAGAACACATTTAAAACCTAATATTCTTTTATCTAAATCAAATCCTTTAAAGTAATGACCGATTACAGCTAAATAATCTTTATCGGCAACGGCAGACCAAATATCTGCCTTAACGCAACGCACCCGCTAGTCGAGTGTAAAAGGTTTATTAATGCTTCTTTTTCTTTTTTAAATAATTTTAATAAATCTACCTAAGAGTAGTTTTTGAAGTGAATTGTGCATTAGGATTATGTACAACCTTAATATATCGTTGCCAATTAGGATGCTCTACAAAACTAAGTGGTTGATCTAAAGCAGCTATCATTCGTGCAACTTCCATACGATCTACTTGCGGATCGTATTTCCAAGCGGTTAGACCACCGGTTGCGCGATCAAAAGATAATTGTGTTTGGCGGAGTTCGGATCCGCTGGATTGGCTAAACTTTTGAAGACACTTTTCAGAATGTCTTCTCAAGTGTGTGGTGTCGTGAATAGTATCATCTTGTAATTTAGATAAACAATATTTACACTGAGCTATGTGTTTAGTGTTACCTTCATTGTCGATCTCACCAATTATGTCGAAGTGATCCCAAACTGTCGAGGTGCGCTTGCATTTCCTCCTAGAGGTTGCAACACTTGCAGGCGCAGTCGCATTAGCACTCGCCGCTTCTCCACGCCCATTTTCCATGTTGTGTTGGGCATCAACGGGAATACCACTATAACTAAAAGGATCCATTATAAAAAAAATAAGAGCGATTTGAGAGAGAGAGCTTTAGGATAATGTGATAGTTTTTGGACAAATTTTGAAAGAGATTTGAGAGATCGAGAGAGATTGAGAGAAATTGAGAGGAATTGAGAAAGTTTGAGTGAGAAAAATGTGTGGAGGATGGAGGGTATTTATATGGAAATTTTTTGGTTAAAAAATTGATTTTTTTTCAAAAAAATCAATGTGCAATGGCTACATAGGTTTGGCGGGTCGGGTTTGGGCGGCAATAGGCAAAAAAGTAGCCGTTGGACGGGTTTTCAGGCTTATTTTCGGGTCGGGCACAACGGTCAGATTTTTGAACATTTTTTCGGGCAGTTCGGGCTTCGGGCGGGTTGGGCATGGCCGGAAAAATTCAAAAAAACCTCCGGCAAACGGCGATCGACAGCACCTACACGGCGGCGGGCTCCGGCGTGGTCTCAAAATTCGGGTTTCCCGAGCCCGAATTTCCACCTTGGATGGGCCGGCATATGGGCATGCCCGCCCGAGCCCCAAAAAATTAGGGCTTCGGGTAGCCCGCCGGCCCAAAGTTCCACCACTAGTTGAGGATTTAGTTGTTATTTTGAGTTTTTGTGAGAGAAGGCTATGTTAGCAAATTGAGTGATCTTTAGGCACCTAATTGAAGAAGAAAAATAGAGACTTTAGAACTGATTTTATGAGGTTAGGACAACTATTAGAGGTTTAGAAAAACCTAGACACTTATCCTATTATAAGGTCACTTTACTTTTGCTTGGTTTCTATTAAGTTTAGACTTCATTTTTGGGTCTATTTTAGCAAAGAAGCCTAGAACTCCAATCATAACATTTTCTTCTCTCTTCTCACTCCTTTTCTCACCCAAAACTCAGAAGCAAACCTAGATTTTCAAGAGAGAATAAGCTAAAAACTCAACCAGCTCATTTCAACTCGTTTTCAACCTAGAACCAAAAATAACCACTAAGGTTTTGAGCTTTTATTCACTTGGGAACACGTTTTTCTTTGAGATAACTTCTTTCTTATGTTATAAACTAAGATTTTAGAGATTAAAGATGTTGAAATCCTACTTGAGATTTGGATTTTTGATGTGGCTTATCATGCACGTTGTTTGTAGACTCTTAAAAATGAGTTTCTTGAGGTTTTGGTTCAAATATTGGTTTCTAGGTGAAATTAATGTTTTTAGCTTGATATTATTGATGATTATTTGAAGATAAACTCTTATTAGGATGATGATTCATGTATTTGAGAGTATTTGAGAGTGTTCTTTGAAGATTAAGATCTGCATGCTAGGTATTTGATGAAATGTTCAAATATAAGTCCTCTGTACAGCCTATGTAGATTATGTTTTCGTGCTATATATATACTTATGATTTTGACTGATCTTATATTTTTCTATTAAATTATACATCTCAAGCATTACGTGAGTTTTTGAATCACTCTAAATGAATTTTTTTACATTTAGTTATGAATTTTATAAGTTCAGCTAAAAAGCTGTTATTTTCCTGACGAGATTATACTTCAATCCGGATTTCGGGCTGTTTTTGGTTAGTTTGAAAAATCTGAAACCTGTCATGTAGTAGTTCTAAAAAGAGATTTTGAGTCTACTTTTATTTGCCACTGGTCTCATAATATTTTGAATTTTGATAAATTTGTTATGAATATTTTCGTAACAATGCGCAGTTATATGTTTTGTTAAATGATGATATGCATGTGATTTTTGAAAGCTATGGTTTTTAAAAGTTAATTATCACATTGAAGACTCCCCACAATCAGCTAGTTTGTTCTTGCAAAGTGGTGATCGAAATTCATATAAGTAGAGTTAAAGCATTAAACTGTATCACAAGACTTATTTGACGAAATAACTTGTTCAGAATTGTAATTATGCAACTTTATTCTCTTATGAGATTCTTATATGATTATGTTCAAAGAGTATTCATGATTAATTATTTTGAAAGAGATTATGATATTTGCTTATTATGTTTTTATGTTTTAAAAGATTTTATGGTATGATATATTGATGAGAGGCTGAGTAAGCAGGGGTGCGAGGGACCGGTGCCTCAAATTAGAGAAACTGTCTCTTTGAGACAACTAGAAAAAAATGCTAGTGGGAAGTCTCTTGTTGATCACAAGAAAAAGAGATTCTAAAAATCCCGCTTAGTGTTTAAGAGAAGAGAATTGGCCAAAATTAGAGAATGTCCTGTATAGAGAGGCTTACTTGGAACTGAAATTCTGTATTATACCTAAACTAAGAATAAGTATGAAAGTTTATGAACAATGTTTAACAAAGAAATTTTAACTACAGAGATTTTAGATACTTATTTTATTTGAAATCTACTTACTGAGTTTTTGCTCATTAGTTTTACTTTGTGATGCAGATGATGTTGTTGTTATCGAAGAGTAAAAAAAAAATGATTTCCAAGGTTAGCTGAGTACTCCAAATCCTATATCTGGCATTTTACTTATATGTACTTCCAAACAATAGATTGGCTCAAAATATATATATATTTTTTTGGTTACTATGTCGCTTTTAAATAACTATTTAATGTCTAAGATTTGTGGTTGTAATCATTTTGCGCACCGACTCATTTTGTTAAAAAACCTTTACGAAAATTTTGTGATAAAATTAACCACAAATTTTCGCATTTTAAAAATAACAGTGTTTTAAGTATAAAAAATATGTTTTAAGTAGCACTACCTCGCTAAATTCAACCTTAGACCGATTTAGTGTTGGGGCGTTACAAAAACAATTTTTTGATTTAATATAAAATGAAATAGAAATGAAAAATAACTTTTAATCATTTTTTTTTTATTTTCGTTTTCTCCTCTCTCGAGGAAAGAGAGAGACGAGTTTTTTTATACTAAAAACAATCTCTTAATAAAACTACCAAACACATTTTTAAAAATAATTTTTGTTTGAAATTGAAAACGTTTTCATTTTTATTTTCATACAAAAAACAAAATCAATTTAAAATGAGTTCCAAACGCGACCAATACTTGTTAAAAGGTCATTTTTTTGACTAATTTTACTTTCGAGTACAAGTTCTTGATTGAGTAAAAAAAAAATACAGAAAATGCAAAGCCCGGTTAAGTGTAATCTCATATATTGAGAGGTGAATTTAAACCAAATTTCGATCTAATAATCTAAATGCACGGTATTAGACACTAAACAAAAACTTGATTGACCTGATTAGCATAATTTCTTTAACACAGTAGTTTAACTAAGAAAGCCCAGAAGCTGTCTCCAACCAATAGGTCTGTAATGAACTTGTTGAAGGAGGATTAAAAAAAAATGATGAAAGAAAAAAAAAAAAAAAAAAAAAAAAAGTTGAGCAGGATCAAAGCACACTAAGGAATATAAGCTAGTAAAGCTACAAATTTACAAGATACACTACCACAACTGCATTATCAAACTACTAAAGCTAAAGAAACAGAGAACGCTTCAGGTTCGAGGATAATCCCTCATCATTGTTAACACATAAGATAGTGCAAGTCCTTCAGACAAGCATCTTGTTTTTCTTGCTTTTTTTTTTGTTTTTTTTTCCCCTCCTGCCTACCAATTCTCTTCATCTTTCTCCCTCTAACTCTTCTAACATGGTGCAAGTTCATTATTCTTACCTCTTAATTCCCGTCGTCCGCAGATTTTAAGTAGAGAGTCTCGCCTCCATCACCCGAGCTTCCACCTCGGCCTTCAGCAGAGCCGGAGCTTCCTATATCCTGCTTGCTCCCGCCAGCCATCCCCCTATGCAGGCCTTCTCCGGCAGAGCCACGACCAAAATCGGGGAACCCTCCAGCCCCCAGTTGCCCACTGCCTCCTGCACTACCAATGTCTCCTTGCATCATGTGCAGTCCCGAGCTCCCACCCGAACTCATGCCTAGCTGACCATGCAGGGCTTGTTGTTGCAGAGCTGGGAATGGCTGCTGCGTGTACAACATGGACGAGCGCGCGGCCATGAGTGATTGCGGAGTCATCTGCTGCGCTTGTTGGTGCTGCATGTAGTGTGCTCCTGGTTGCATCATGCTACTAGAAGGGTACTGCAGCAATTTACAAAATGTTTAGGATTGCTTAATGAATTGTGTCATTCTTTTATCATTAACTTGTCGTGATTAAAAGACGTTTACAAGTCATTTATGAACATACTAATCAAGAATTTATCTCACTGTAATCTATCCTAAAGTATATAGATCTGGAAAAATTTTTAAAGCACATAGCAAGCTATCTGAATCAAGTCTACCAGGAAAGATTAAATAACTTTGGTCAAAAGTCTCATCATGCAATAGAGAACTCATAGAGCAAGGTTTGGGTAAGTAGCTTATAAAATATAACAAAAAAGCACTGTACAAATAACAGCTTATTACACCCCAGCTACTAGCGTTAACTAGCTACAAGATTTCATCGTCGGAAATGGAGATTATACCTGAGCATGCATTGTAGGAGGTTGAGGCTGAGAGTCAGCAATAGCAGCCAGGTACATCAAGTTGCGCTGCAGCCTCGCTTGGTTCCTGCTCGAGCGAGAAAAAAGGATAAGTGGCCCTTCTGACACTTCAACATATAATCTTATTTCAAATCACTATTATGACAAGAGGGTTTTACTTCCACTTTGAATTCACTTTTGTTTGTTTGCAGTAAGCTAAATGCATAACATCACAACTGTCAATTATGATAAAATTCCCAAAGCACAACACAAGAATTTCTTTGGCACTATTTCATCCAAACTTTACTGGCTCTCTAAAGTTAATACTACGTCTGACATCTATAGAAGTTATACACTGCACAACAACGCCATGATAGAGAGGAGATGGATTTTAAACAAAACTATTGAAGGGACGTGACAAACATGAAAACACCTATGTCCGGTCAAAAGAAAGATCAAGCTTAGATTATGCTTTCCAGCACGCACCAGACAATTCGAAAACCAATCACAAGCATCGTCAAATACAGTGTACTCGTCAACCCGACCAATACGACATTGTACCAGAATCTCTTGCGCTAATTAGTTTCAGAAGTATTTAGCAAAAAAAAAAAAAAGGTCTTCGAAGTTCATCAACCTGGATCCTGTATCTTTATATATATGAACCTAAATGAGAACTGTAGTAATATGTACATGGTCAAGCACATTTTGAGAAACAGAAAACAAAAGGTAAAAGTAATTAGTAGGATAATAGAGGCAGCATCTGTTTCAAGCAGATGTACTGATAAAAACGTCAGTTAGCACTGCGTATCTGATAGTTATATAACTTGTCCACCAGAATAATGGCCAAATATGTGTCATGCAGAGAAATATTAATTTTCTCAAAGTAGTATTTCACATTGTAAGCCAAGTAACAACATGCAGTTGAGAGAAATAAACTACAACAAAGCAGCAGTCAACAAGAGATGCTAAAAAAAAAACACATACTCTGCACATTCACTCAATTTCCCAGAATTCTGGCTCTCAACAATCTTCAGAATCAATGACTTGTTCTCATCCAAATACTGCAACAAGGAATAGTCAATTCATTAACAGTTAAACATAAAATTGCAGGATATCTGTAACATGTACTCGAAATAAATGCAGTATAAGCAATAAAGGGAAGTCCAGAAAAGGCAGTTTCTAACTCTTTTAGGGAAGATTACATATGTCATGTATAATGAATTGGCTATCTTTTCCCAAATACAGCCACTTATTATAAGAAATAATATCCACTCAGAAACATTTTAACTCCAGAGACCGAGAGGTGACTTTAATGACAATAAATGCTTCCTAATTACTATTAAGACATTAAGGAAAACTTTACAGGCTGATTCAGGAATTTACATTACAAGGACGAAATCAGAAATGCTTCACTGCCCCCTAGAGTGAGAACTTTTATTTGAACCATTTCATCTGTTATTAATAAACATTTACTCGCTTTCCACTTAAACAAGATATAATTTAAGTACAAGCAAATGCTTAGTAAAACACTATTGTTTCTTCAAAGAAAAAGCTAGAATATTCCTGCATTTTGCTTGCAAATGTCAACATAAAAGACGTTTATGACACAACCATGATTATAATCTCTCACCCGTGAATTAAATGTCATATGCGATGTGTTTAAAACCAGTTTTAGCTCATAAAATAAGGGTATAGTACACATACCACATGCATCATATCTTCATTTTAAAGCTTTTATAAGCAACTCCATTCTTAATCTTATGACACTTGGTGACAAGTCAAAGTTTGAGTTCACCTAAATCCCCATTTTAGGCAGATTCTTTTAAACAACGCAAAAAGACGGTTAGTTGCAACTTTAAATTCCTTGTCCTAAACTCCTAAATAATAAGAAAACTTCCAAACTTTCAAGTAATTAAATAGCACATAGAAAAACACCAACTAGCTTTCAGCCTACCAAACAGAAACTAAACAAAGACCAAATAGTCATGTGACGTCAAGTAACTATAGCACTACATCCGTTAACATTGCAAGCAAAGATCTTATACACACACATATAAATACATATATGATATGAAACCCCATATGCATAACAAACGATACACAAGTAGACATAAAAAGAGAATAAATAAAGAAATAAAGATGGCCATGTGACACCTAACTACCTTCAGAAACAAGGTACTTCTAAATCATTCAACAATAAAAGAGAATAAAGGAACGAGAAGGCGCATTAAAGAAGGAAGGCCCTAAACCTAGATTCTAATGAGGTAGGAACAATACCAACGATGATTCCCCCCAACAACAAGAAATACCCATTTGAGGAGACAATAAAAAATAATTAAAAAAAAACAATCATAAGAAATATACCCCATCAACCATTGCTCACACCGACATAACTATTCATTGAAGAAAGTCACGTTTTTTCAAACCAATGAAGCTAAATAACCAACCAAGATAACTCAATAAACAATAGAATGATCCACATGAAACAAAAAGATGAACTTTAAGAGAAATATATATATTCTATATCAAAACGAAACAACAAACACCCGGTGAGCATTCATTCACCAATCAAAATTTGATTTTGATGAGGAAATGTGACTCGGAAGGTAAGAAAAAAGAAGAAGGAGAAGAAAAGAACCAACGGAACAAGGAAAACCAACAAGAGAGAGAGAGAGAGAGAAAATGAAAAGGCAGAGAGAAAGGGGGGAAGAAGAGGAGAACCTGTTGAATGTGATCAGTGGTGACGTTGTTGGGATAATAGGCTGCCATCATGGGCTGCATCTGCATCAGGTGCTGCTGCATTTCAAGCACTCTTCTTTATATACACAAACACTCTCTCTCACTCTCTCTCTCTCTCACTCTCTCTCCTAACTTTCTCGCTCTAAAGTATTGAAACAGTGTTTCAGAGCTGAGAACACTCACTGCAAAAAGAGTGCAAAGAGAGGTCAGAGGCAGGACTATAGATAGATGCCTTCACTTTTTTTTTCTTTTTTTTTTTAATGTTTTCTGTTTGGCCCTTTTTTTTTTTTTTCCCTCTGAGTTCACTTTTCTCTTCTCCTTACAATGACACAACCACCACAGGTATTAGGGGACAGTGAGTGAGACAGAGAGAGATCGAAATAGCTAGTAGAGAGTAGAAAAGGAAAGAAAGTAGGAAAATGAGAGAAAAGAGAGAGATTTTTTGGTTTTGGGTTTTGTTGGTTGTGGCTTCGGCTTTCTGAGGTCGTGACTTTCTTTGTATAATCTCTCTCTCTCTAAAACCCCAGTGTTTCTCTCTCTCTCTCAGGGTCACGTGATGGGTGGATGAGAGAGAAATGAGAGAGCCTATAGATATACAATAATGAATCTACTCATGTAGATGTTTCAGTAGCAGAGCTTGAAACAGCATGTAACATTTAACATGATAATATGTGTGTGTCTCTAAATTTAATATATAATATATTTTCTATCAAAAAATTATTTATATGTAGATATAATAATAACTGTTTGGGTGTTTTAGACCGGTTTGGTCCAAACTCTTTTGGCCTCACTCATTGATGTGATGACGCCCTTGCTTCTGTCGAGAGATTCCAAAATGAGTTTGTATTTGGTCTTCTCCCAAGCGCTCTCCCAAGCACGTGGCACACGCCCGGTCTCATCACATCAAAATTGGGTTTCACTTTCATTCTTCCCAAATATAAATTGGATTTGAGCAAGCCAACCCAGCTTTTCAGGGAATTCCATAGAACTACTGTATAGTTCGTATAATATAATTATGAGATTAAAATTATTTTTAATTTATGTATATTTTTTATAAAAAAAAATATTGTAGTAAATCATGAATCATTATTCAAATCAGGGTATGAATTTCCTTACCAAACATCACATAATATAAAGAGGGGTTAATGGCTTGGTCTTCAACATATGTGGAATTACCATTAAGTTGTGTATAGAATTACGAAGAGCCCGTTTAGGCTTAGTTGGTATTATTTTTTCCTTTTAAAATCAGTTTATACTCGTAGTAGAAGCTGATTTTAGTGTTTAATAAATTTCTTTAAAAGTATTTTTTGAAGAAATTTTTAAGAATTTACAGCTAAAATCAGAAGCAGTTTGAAGATAACTTTAATTTTCAAATTGTGCATGAATTAACATAATACAATTAATAAAACTTTTATAATACTCATAACACTCCTAATGAAATTTAAAATTTACAATCTTCTTAATTTAAAATTCAAACTCGTAATATAATATAATATAATATAATAATAATATTGTAACAAATAATATTATAATTATATTAATAACTCTAATATTATTATTTTATCATATAATATGATATTATAATTATATTATAATTATTTTAATAATATGATATTATAATGATAATATAATATTATATTTATAATATGTTTTATAATATTGTAATTATATTAACCATTTTAATAATATTATTATATTATATATCATAGTTATATAATATGTTATTTAATAATAGTTTTATTGTATTATATTAAATATATATTATATTATAATATAATATAGTCGTAATTTTTAACTATCCACAACAATTTAACCTCATAATTTATCAAACGTTATTACACTGATTTTAGAACCAGCACAACTACTATAATTATAGTTTACCAAACACTTAGCTACTTTTTATAACAGCTGCTTCTTCTTTCAGCACAGCTAAAAGTAATTTTTACAAAATCTACAGCACTACCAAACTAAGCCTTAGTTTGCTGATCCGAGTGGAGATATGATTTTATGTAAGAGTTTTCTACCGTACCAAAAAAGTTAGATATGACTGCTTCTGAAAGTATTTTACTGTAACAAAACTTGAATTCTAAACTCAAATCGGTGAAATGAATGAGCCAAAGTCGTTAAACTTATAATAAACAATAATTTGGTATAAAACTGAATTTGTAAATAAAAATCTCTCTGAATTGAATTTAATAAGTAACAAATGGTGGTCTAAATGAAAGCATCTGTTTAATTTCAGATGAAAAACATCCTTTTAAAGTGCAATTCCAAAATCCTAAAAATCTATCAAAATTTTTTTAAAAAAATTTGTTAGATCAAATTATTTACTTTCTCACCTGGTGATCCACCCCATGCACCAAGGGTGTAATTCGGCTGGGTGAGGTCGGGTTAAGCCGAAAAATTGAGCCGACCCGATTGGTGTGGGTTGAGAAAACTTTAGGCCGCAACACTCTCTTAAGTCTACAAACCCGCAACCTTTCGGGTGACCTCGGGTAGGCTCGGGTTACTCGGATTGGTGAAAACTAATTTTAATCTATGACTTCATACCTCTTTTAACAGTACAAAAGTATAAAATCCATAAACAGTCCATAAGCATTAACATAACATCAAACATACTTATTAACAGTCAATAAAATTCAGAAATAAAATTAACAATACGTCAAATAAACAGTCCATTAGTCCAGCAAAATAGGAAATTTAGTCCACTCCAAACAGTTTAATCCAGAATAATAGCACCTCCATTCCCAACTTGTCCCTCATGTGTTGCAACAGAATTTGACAAATCTTGAGAATAAAACATAACAAAAAAATCATTAGGATCAAGTTTAAGACAACAAAATAAACAACAAGGAGATGAAATAAAGTTAAAAAAGAAAAAGTAAAACGTAAAAAGATTACCTGACTCAATATCTTCATATTCATTAAACTCTTTCATATCAATAAAGTTGATGTGCTCACGACTACGCAGCTAATTTTGTGTACAAATCAATGCCTCCGCCATCTTAGGGCTCAATGAACTCCTAAAGGGATCGAGGATGCGACCTCTGGTACTAAAAGCAGATTCTGAGGCTACCGTTGAAACATGAATGGCAAGAATGTCTCTTGCAACTAGTGAGAGAACCTTGTAATTAGTTGCATTATTCTTCCACCAATCTAAAACATCAAAATTTGACCGAGTTGGATCCTCCATAGGGTCTGTCAGGTATCTGTCCACATCATTTTGTACTCATTCACATTCTTTTCCTTCATTTTCCTAACAAAGGAGCTCCACAAACACCCTTTTTCCTTCTGCTTTTGTTTTTGCCTCCTTTGTACTTGTTGGCGCCGCCTCTCCACTACTTTCATTAGCCATAGATTCACCATTGTCTCCACTATAAACCTCATGTAGCCGGTACTTATGATAACATCTAGCACACAAATTAACCCAAAAACAGATAACATATGATTGAGACCAAGCGTAGAAATTAACCTAAAATCAATTCATCTCAGTTCTCATGAAAAACATAGTATTTCTCATAACTTAGTTATCACAAAACAAACAGAAAATAAAAAAAATCCTAACCATTTTGTTTCAATATCAGCAAAGGACGCGGTGCAATAGCTGGAATTGTGCAAGGAGAATCAAACTCAGAGGCTAGACCAAGAGCAATCCTATCCCAAACCTGCTCAAATAGTTAGATGTGTTAAACCTATAGTATATTATGACGTGCATTTAAAGAAGATAATCTAGATATCATAGAAGATGTTAAGTTGAATCAGAATGTTGAACTTAAAGAGCCAGAACACATTGTAAAGTGTGTGCAAGAATAAAATCTTATCTAGAAGCACATAACACTCCAACTAGAGTCATATTTACAGAGTGGGATACGTTACTTGCCTTCTTCACTACTTCTTTATCAATTACGCTCTTCCCTAAATCAATTCGTGCTTCTGCAAATGAATAATAAGAGCATCAAGGAATGAAAACCACATTCCTTGTTCTAACTAGTAAATCTGCAATCTCTAACAAAATGAACTAGTATATAACGCTCATTGTTCTAACTCTAGCAACAAAGCTCAGTATCAAAAACCACATTCGTTTTGTCAAAGCTCAGCTATGATTCGGCGTTAATTAAAAACCCTAATTTTGCCAATTCTTACTTATAATCTAATCAGAGCAAAGAAGAACAAACAAACAGACAACCTCAATTCACAAAGTAATAAATTTCAACAAAAAGACTCAACAAACAAACCCATTTCTGTTTGGTTTGCTCTGATTCAGAGAGAAATAAAAAACAAAACAAAAAAAATCTGGAAGAAGAAGAGGAACGAAGATTTACGATGAACGGCGAGTGTGAGAAACGGCGAGAGACTGATGAATAGCAAGGAACGGTGAGAGACTGAGAAGAATAAGAGGAACAGAGAATTATGAACCGTGAGTGTGAGGATTAGGGATTTATGGTGAAGTGGAACAGAGAATGAGAATGAGTGATTAGAGGATTTAGGCCTTAGGGCTAGGCGAGAGATTGAGGAGGGAGGCAGGCGAGAGACTGAAGAGGGACTGGGAAGCGACGAGCGAGTGATTAGAGAGATTTAGGGTTACGCCTGGGGTAGGTAGAAAACAGCTGGGTCAGGGCATAGCGGGTTCAAGGATGCCCGACCCGCCACCCAACTTGCACAGTGCGGGTTGGGACTATTTCAATCCGAAATCTTTTTAAAAAAAAAAAAAACCTATGTATTCAGGTTGGGCGGGTCGGGTCGGACGGATTATTCAGGTTCGGGCTCAATTCTTACATCCCTACCACGCACTACACCATTTACCCGGCAAGCCCACGTGTCATCGCGTGCCACCACACCCTCCGTCGCAGTAGTCCATGCGCCACCTTAGCCGCCCACCTTTGGTGTCTACATCCCTTTTCTCATCTGTGTCACGATCCTCCCTCCCACCCTGCGACTCCTTACCAAGCCATCCCTCTTGTGAACTTATCTCACAATTGGCGCAGCACCCAGCACGACGATGCTATTTCTAAACCAAGCCCCTCAATTGGTGATATTTTCATCTGGACCACCATTTACGACTTAATTTTCATTTAAACGGATTTTTAACTCATAGAAGTAAAAGTTTTGGACTAAATTGTCACTATAAAAAAAAAAAAAGTTACAGGATCACCAAAGCAACCTTTTATTCTTAGTTACCTCCTGTAATCAAAACAATTAAAGCAATTACACCTGAATTCCAATTTCCAAAGCCAGTAGTTGTACAGCACTAATAAAAAGCAATTACTTCTGAATTCCGTTTCTTAGCTCATTTCAAGTACATAACTACAAGATCTTTACAAGCAACAAAAAGGAAAAAGAACAAAGAAAAAAGAGGACAAGAATTACAAGAGCTATGAAAGAGCTTCACAGGAAATTTTTTTTTTTTTTTTAAAAGAGTGCAGACTAGGAGAACACTCTATAAGAGCTATCCGTATAGAGTGAAGCATGCCTGAATTCCACAGATTTGCCCTATCAAGGTGACATGTACTGATATATATTTAAAAAAAAAAAAAGAAAAAAAAAACCTAGTGAAAGT